AAAGTAGAGACACTACATACTGATATACACCTGAACATCAGCAGGAGAGGACTCTTTAAAGTAGAGACACTACATACTGACATACACCTGAACATCAGCAGGAGAGGACTCTTTAAAGTAGAGACACTACATACTGATCTACACCAGAACATGAGAATAACAGGGTCCCCTTAAAGGTGGGGTAGGTAAGTTTGAGAAACCGGCTCGAGATACACTTTCTGTTATATTCCATGGAATGCTCTTAACATCCCGATAGCCATGAATATCTGAAGTGCTTTGACAATAAATCCATAAAAAAAATTCATCTCTGGAAGCCGTGGCGCTGTAAAAAGCACGACCAATCATCTGAGCCGGCCCGGCTAAAATAACTGGATGGCCTACCTGCCTGTCAGCCTTTCATCTGTGCACAAACTTATCTCGTGCCCTCATTGGTCATGTGCGCGTTCGTGTGTGTTGGAGGAGTGGCTCTGTAAGGAAATGGCAGATTGTTTCCGGCCATGTATTTTCAAATTCTAGCGCACTCAAGCCGGTTTCTCCAAAATTACCTAGCCCACCTTTAAGTCCAGAAAGACCTTATGGTTACCCTCCCCCACCTCTCGTATCATGATACAGTATGTAATGTTTCCCCACTTACAGCCAGTTCTAATCATGTCATTGATTGGTTGACTTTTTGCCAGAGTAATTAAAATGTTTCTTTCCACCCACAGGACAATTACCCTCCCTCACAAAGACAGCCTCTTATAATTGCAAAGTGTAGTCTAGATGCAATATATGAAATGCATTTATTGAAACCAACAGGAGCCATTCACAAACTGAAGCTTTAGATGATCAGTTCATTTCAATTCCCATTGCTTTATAATGTGCTTATTCATAATGTATGACATTGGGCTGAACGTGTTTTCATCCAATAAGCCTTGAGGGGATTTTGTCTGATAATTAATGTGTTTTTAAAGTTTCTCAGATATCATTTGGAGATAGTTGTGCTCATCATGTATTGACAGTATTTTCATCTTCTCTGTCCATCTCTCTTTGATCCCATTTCTGTTCCGCTGCGTCTGTCTCCTCTTATCAACGTCTCTTTTCTCAGCCTTTTATTTTATCTCTCCATCTAGAATCAAAGTTTCAAACACGCCATCAACTTTCCTTTTTTTTGAGTTTCTGCAGCCTAAAAGAGCATAGTCACACCTACAGTTATCCTATTTCACAGCTATATCCACAAAGTCTAAACATACAAAGGAAAATAAAAAAAAGGGAAAGATAGAAATTAAAAACTGTATAATTATAATAATAATAAAAAAATATTAGAATAACCCTAATAATAATAATATTAATTACAATAAAATGTCTACTTATATTAATAATAATGCAAGCGAAAAACGACTTTTTAGGAAAATATAAAAAAATATATAATAACAATATTTTAATAACGATAAAAAGGAAGAGTAAAATGTCCAATAAAACTCAAAATGAAAGGCAATGTTTCTACCTTTTAGTACATTTCATTTCATTTCAAACCTTTATTTAATCAGATTGGTCCCTTGAGATCACAGATCTCTTTTTCAAGGGAGACCTGCAGCATATAGGTTCCACATGAAACATAAAACAATAAAGGACATCATACATTATATTTACAGGATACATTTACATAGTTATAGACATTTACAAGTGCCCATAGTATCAACGAGCATTTCATTTAGCCTAGCTTTAAAAACATGCAGAGGAATGAGATTGCTCAGTTTCAATTCTTGCTGAAGATTGTTCCAAGCAAGTGGAGCTGCGCACATAAAAGCTGTCTTACCTAAGACAGTCCTTGCTCTTGGCACATCAAACAATACTACATCATGAGATCTCAGACAATAGCTACTTACAACTCTCTGTGTTATCAGTGAACAGATGTAATACGGGAGTTTACCCAACAAATCTTTATACATAAACGTGTACCAATGACTGAGCCTCTTTACAGTAAGTGATGGCAGACCTGCCTTGGCATACAGGGTACAGTGAAGAGTAAGTGCTTTACAGTTAGTAAAAATCTCAGTGCGCTGTGATAGGCGGCATCTAACATGTTCAGGCAATAGGTAGGTGCATTCATATAGACCAAATCACCATAATCCAGCACAGGTACAAAGGTCACAGAGCCTTTTCCTGGCCTCAAGTGAGAAACAGGACTTGTTTCTGAAAAAGAAACCTAGCCTAACCCTCAGCTTTTTAACCTGAAGTTTAAAAGTAAGACTTGTAACATGTACTTGTTCTTCGGATAGATTTCCCACACATTTGTAAGTCCTTATTCATCCTGAGGGAAAGGAGGTTTTATGACCGACACTCTTCAGCTTTAGTTGACCACAGACCATATTTCAGGATAAGAACCAAAAACACGTTCAAAAAACATTAACCTCCAAATGATCTAACCATAGTGCTAAAACTCTCATTTCAGGTTACAGACTCATTCCTGCACCACATGTCCACATGTTTCTATTATATTCAATTTTATTTTATTTACCTGTACTATTTGAACTGTTTTGTTGTGTTGCACTGTTGGAGGAGCCTGTGACCTAAGACTTTCATTGTCATAACTACACTGTAGCTATGCACACAATGAAAGCCTTGAAACTGAACCCTTCTTAATGATCTCCCCTCCTCCTCCTCCTCCTCCTCCTCCTCAGACTCTGAACTCGGTGACCCCCCACCTGGACGTGGAGGAGTGCTCCATCTCTCTGATGCCGAGGAACCGAGAGAAGAACCGCAGTATGGACGTCCTGCCGCCGGACCGATCTCTGGCCTTCCTGGTGACCGCGGAGGGCGAGGGCAGCAACTACATCAACGCAGCGCTGGCCGACAGCTTCCTGCGACCGGCCGCCTTCGTGGTGACGCCGCACCCCCTCCCCGGCACCACCACCGACTTCTGGAGGCTGCTGTACGACTACGGCTGCACCTCGGTGGTGATGCTCAACCAGCTCAACCAGTCCAACTCCGCCTGGGTAAGAACAGAGGCTGGAGGTCTCACACATGGTGATGTTATTAGTTTCTATATTTTTTTATTTGTAAGTAAGCCCTTTAAAACTATCTCTCAACTGGATTTGAATTATTACCAGTTACACATTACTCCGATAGGGCTAGCGAACTACAACTACCACTGCTGTTGATTATTACTTATTGTTTCTCAATGTTAATCTCGAATTAACGACTTGGTTTTATAAACAATGACCTGGAATCTCAAAATTATGATTTATTATTCTAAAATAATCACCAAGTACTGTATCTTAAAATTAGGACTATGTTTTTCAAAAATGGTGACTTAATATCTTAAAAATAATGACTAACCATCTTATCAGAATGAGAAACCAACTCCAAATCCTAAGTCTCACTCGTGATTTTGAAATAATAATTCAATATTTGTATCATTGATGCTTTTTTTATCTCTGGGCTGCCGTACATGATCTAACACGAGGAGACTTGCGGTGACAAAATGACATTTATATCAAATCAATATCTTTCCTTCAGAGAAGACAGCGAGCACAGGTCATCACACGTCCGGCATTTAAAAAGCTACAGACCACACATTCACCAGCTTAATTTACACAAACACACACACACACACACACACACACACACACACACACACACACAC